GAATTTCTATTCTTTAGAGCACTTGCTTAGCTTGTAGTCTTATATTTATTATACTATAATCTTATGTTATTATATTTATATATTATTATATAATAAATATAAGACTACTCAAGTAGTGCCTTTTATGAAACAGTTGCTTAGTAGCATTTGTTGAAAGAATAAGTGAGTAAAGAGATAAAGGATAATGGTGATCTGAGAAGTAAAGGAGCTGGATTTTGAAATGAATGGAGGCTATTTGAAATGTCTACTATTGGAAATGAAGTAAAGGAAGGTAAGAATGAATGAACAGTCAGGATAGCGAGAAAGCCCAATGCTGATAAGAATTGGAGACTCTTTTGTTATTATGAAAGAAGTCAGTACACTAGAGGGATTTTTTTCCCCCTTAGTTTCCATCTTTTTCCAGATTCATCCTTGATTGCCTTTTTCCCAAATAACTGGGGAAGAGGTTACAGTGATGGACTGTAGAATCCTAGCCGGATAAGGAGTGAGATGGAGAAGAATCTTAAGCATCCATATTCATGATACTCTGTTTTGTTGTTTTGTTTCCAGAAATGGAAGGAAGGCCTGAAATAAGGCAACAAATGAGTCAGAGGAGAGAGGTCTGGCCATACCACATAAAAAATAGAAATTTAACTCTGCTGAAGCTTTTTTTTTATTGTCGGTTGTGGAGCTTGAACTCTGGGCCTGGGTGCTGTCTCTCAGCTCTTCAGCTCAAGGCTAGCACTCTTGAGCCACAGCACCACTTTGGTTTTCTGGTAGTTAATTGGAAATAAGAGTCTCATGGACTTTCCTGCTTGGGATGGCTTTGAACCACGATCCTAAGATCTCAGCCCCTTGTGTAGCTAGGATTATAGGCATGAGCCACTAGCGCCTGACATTTTTTTTTTTAACGTTTATTTTACTCATCTGTTTTCTCACCAGGGTGAATTTTTGGAGGGTCCAAAACAGTTGTTATCCCTGAATGTTTCCCCACATTTCATTCATGTAAGGCTTCTCTTCACCATGCATACTTCCATATTCAGCCTAAACTGCTTTTTTAACAGTCTCTCCCCATTGTGATGTTCTTAGGGTTTCTGACTGCTGTCACTTCTCTGATGACTTTGAAAGGACAGGGGTCTTTCTGCTTCACATTCATTGTATTTATGGAGCTACTTTCTAGAGTGAATTCTCTGATGATGAATAAGCAAGCATTGATGAGTGCTTCTTGAGGAATGTCTTATATCTAATACATATATACAGTTGCTTGCCTATGTAAATATATGATGGTTTAAAAGAGATGGTTTAAAAGAGATGATTATCCCAGTCTTTACTTTTATGAATTCTCAATGATGTGATTATTCAGTTAGCTGAAAGGGGAGTATATCTGAAAACTTTGCCACATTACTTGCATTTGGTTTTGTGTTGTAACAAAGTTGCACTCAGGGCTTCATGCTCTTGCTTGATTATCTTGCTCATGAGCCACACATCCAGTCTTGCATATTTTTTAGTTAATTAGAGATGAAGTCTAATAGACTTTCTGCTGGCTTTGAACCACAATCTTCTAGTACTCAGCTTCCTAAGTAGCTAGGATTGCAGAAGTGAGTCACAGACAGCCGACCTTCTTTTCATTTATAGTACTGCTTCTCTACAAAGGTTCTACCCAACCAATCCAGACCTCTTTCCATCATGATATTTGTTTGGTTTTTTAGAACAGATATTTTACTTTAAGGCTGGTATCTTTCTTTCAAACTGTTGTTCCTGGAACTTCTCATAACTAAATCTAGGAATCTACTTTGCTCCAGTTGGGTGATTAGTTTTGGTTTGAAAGAGAGAAGCCCACAGTCTTGAGATTCATATAGATTTCTAGCATCATATCTTATAGAAGGTCTCTTGAATAATATCAGGTTTTTCCCTTCAATCTGGGTAAAGGCCACATCCCTAAATGCCCAGGATCTGGGCTTTAAGCAGCTTTAGAGACATTTGTCTCCTGAACTATTTTCCTTAGGTGAAGAGAATCTTGTGAAAGCAAATAGTTCTGGAAGCTAGAAATCTGAAATCAAGGTAATAATTATGATTGGTTCCTTCTGAGACTGTAAGTAGAATCTTTACTTGTTTCCTTGTAGCTTTTGGTGGGCCAAAGATTTTTGGCATTCTTTGGCTCTATCACTCTAACTTCTACCCATGTCATCAAAATGAATTGTTCCTGTATGTATCTTTAAACTTTAAACATCGATTGCAGACTCCTCTGGTTGTTGTTTTTGTTGTTGTTGTTTTGTCAATCCTGGAGCTTGAACTCAGGGTCTGGGCACTATCTCTGAGCCTCTCTGTGCTTAACGCTAGCACTCTACACTAAGCCACATTCTCAGCCCTCCTCTTGTTTTTTGAAGTAAGCATTTAAAGCTGTGTACATCCCTTTAAGCATTGCTTTAACTGCATCTCACAAATTTTGGTATATTTTTATTTTTATTCAATTTGAAATCTTTTCTAATTTCCCTCCTGAAGTTTCAACCTATGATTATTATATTAGTATTCAACCAAGACTGAAGGGTATACCACCCAGATTTCTGAAGTTCTTTCTCTGTAAAACAACTGCCTTTTTTGTCCTTTTTTGCCTCCTCAACTCAGCAAGATCATATTTTTCTGCTTAGATTCACCTTAACCTGGGTTACAGTCTGGAGGATGCCTCTAGCAGAAAGCTAGAGTGATTAGAGGGCTTACTTGGCTTGCCTCCTAGGGATCACAGTCCTGTAGTGCCTATTGTCAATGTTTAAAAACAGTTGCTTAAAAAATTTTGTCTTGAGGCTGGGAATGTGGTAGAGTGCTTGCCTAGCATCCTTGAAGCCTGGGTTCAATTCCTTAGTACCACATACATAAAAAAAGCTGGAAGTGGTGCTGTGGCTCAAGTGATAGAGTGTTTAGCCTTGAGCAAAAGATCTCAGGGACAGTGCCTCGGCCCTGAGTTCAAGCCCCATGACCAACAAAAAAATAAAATAATTTGATATAAACGTGGTATTTTCCTTTAGGCTGGGAATGTGGCTTAGTGGTAGAGCGCTTACCTCCCTGCATGAAGCCCTGGGTTTGATTCCTCAGTGTCACGTACACAGAAAAAGCCAGAAGTGGTGCTGTGGCTCAAGTGGTAGAGTGCTAGTCTTGAGCAAAAGAAGCTCAGGGACAGTGCCCAGGCCCTGACATCAAGCCCCAATACTGGCAAAATAAATAAATAAATAAATAAATTGTCAAATTGTCTCATTTTCTAGTTACCCATGGTGGGAATGCAAGTCCAATAGCAAAGCATTCCTCACGGATAGAAGTAGCAGTTATAGTGTATTAAAAAAAATAGTAACTTGCAGAAAAGTACAAATTATTCTTATAAAGTTTATTTTTTCATTTGTATTAAATATGAGAGAAATCTTATGAGAAGAATGAAGGAAAGTTGTCATAAAGGTAACTGACAGTAGTTATTGTTAACAGTTTATTGATTCCAACAAAATTCTATATACAAAATTCATGTTACTGGTGACTGTGTGGGAAGTAGTTTAAAAAATGAAGGATATTTCTGTAGCTCTTCATCTTAAGGAAGTTTCTGTGTTTTTTTTTCCTAGCCTTCTAAATTGCTTGGCTGTTATTAGGTGGGTGCCAGTGGATCTCTCAATTCTTTTAGAGAGCAATGGCAGGCTGGCATCCATAATAACACTTCTGACTGAATAGTCTAGAAGCCTGCCATGATCTTCCTTTTATTTCCAAGTTGATTAGTGTCCACGTTAATTCTGTTGGCTTATTCTAGATGGCTTTGGCTGGCTATGGTGGCTGCTTTAGTTAGAGCCCATTTTTAGTTATGTGTACATGCAGATCTAATTATCCATCTCTTCAAAAGTTTAGTTCTATTGCATGTCTTCTGTCTATAATTCAAATATATTTACTACACTATAATTGCAGGACTAGGACTAGAATGAGAAACAAGAGGAATGTAGAACATGACATTTTAAATTCTATTTTGTTTTTTATTTTTCATGCTGGTACCCAGGCTTGAACTCAGGGCCTCTTGCTCTTGCTTTGCTTTTTTACTCACGTCTAATATTCTGTCACTTGAGCCACACATCTAGCCTAGCTTTTTTGCTGTTTAGTTGGAGATAGAGTCTCAAATTTGTCTCCCTGGATTGGCTTTAAACCTTGGTCCCTAGATCTCAGCTGCCTGAGCAGTTAAGCTATCAAGGGTAAGCCTCTGGCACCCAGCTCTAGCATGAAATTTAAATGACCTCCCCATCAAGGTTGTGGAAGCCCACCTTGAACTAATGTGACTCAATGAAAACTCCTTGAATTTTGTGCCTAGAGTGTCTCTACTGCCTCACTCTGGTCCAATTCCTATGTAACCTCACCACTGTAGTTACTGACACCTGTGTAACTAGGACCTTAAAAATGAGCTTGAAGTTTTCTTTGTTGCTGTTTTTTTTTTTTTGGTCTTGTTTATTCAGTTATCTGTTTTGGGGAGGGCAAGGGAGGCCACAGAAATGGAGGGAGAAAGTGAACAAATGAAGAAGTGGTACTCAATAGACACTATGTTGAAAATGAGCTATACAACTTGTGGATTGGGATAGGAAGCAAGAGTTGGTAGGTAGGGAGAGAAGGGATGACATTGTCCCAAAAGAAGTATACTCTCTGATTTCTGTAACCCCTCTGTACTTCACCTTTATAATCACAACAATTTTTTTTTAATTTGTTGGTTGTGGGGCCTGAACTCTGGGCCTGGGCTCTGTCCCTCAGCTCTTCAGCTCAAGGCTAGTGGCACAACTCATTGAGAAGGGAAACCATTGATGAATGTAGAGCAATTCTCCTATAAGCTAAAATATCTGGAGCTAAAAAAACACTATCTTTTGCTGTCTTTCTTCCACTCACTAGACAGTTTTCTCACCCTCTTAAAAACATGCCTTCAAAATAGCCTCAAATGTTGATGTTTAGGGCTCTTCATGGAACAGTAGTCCCGGTTTAGTTTTATCTTACAATGTTTTTATTCTTTGTTTTAGATGCCACTGAGAGCAAGTGCCAGCAAGGGAAGACACAATTTGGAGTTGGCCTAAGAACTGAGAGAGGAAATCACCTCCAGCTTCTTAAAGGATCCCCCACTTTCCAGTCATGCTGGGATGCCTGCTGCCGGAACTCTGCCTGCCATGCCCTTTGGTGGCTAGAAGGGCTGTGCTTTCAGGCAGATTGCAGCATGCCCCAGAGCTGCCAGCCTTTTAGGACAGACTCTTCCAATTCCATGCTGGTGTTTTTTAAGAAAATCCAAACTGCACGTGATTTGGGCTTTATTCCTGAAGATGATATGCCATATCTTCTGGGGCTCAGTTGGAGTAGGGCATCTTTGAGGAGACAGAGCCCACCCAGCGCTCAACTCAGACCTGCCACATCTTTCAGTGACTTGCAGAGCTTAATCAGGAAGCATCAGAAGAGAGAGAGTCCCAGGGAAGCAGTTCCAAACGCAGTGACACTGCTTTCTCAAGTGAATGACTCCAAACAACTAAGTGCTCTGAATACAAGTGGCTCTCCAGAGGTAAGCATGTTACAAAAAAAGGAGCAGAGAGGGCTGGGAAGGTGGCTAAGTGGTAGAGTGCTTGACCTGCATGCATATGAGGCCCTGGGTTCGATTCCTCAGCACCACATGAGCAGAAAAAGCCAGAAGTGATGCTGTGACTCAAATGGTAGAGCCTTGAGCTGAAGAGCTGAGGGACAGCACCCAGACCCAGAGTTCAGGCCCCATGACCGACCAACAACAAAAAAAAAAGAGTAGAGAATCATAAAGCTATTCTTTTACTTCCATGCATGAGCAACTACTGATGGTTGTGGACAGTGCTCACAGGCTGAATGCATTTATTGCTTGACATCATCTTTCTTGTTGCTGCCCTGATGTACAATGACAATTTGACTTTAGAAATGTTTACTTCATGCAGGTCTGGTCATTGTTTTGGTAAAAGTAGAAAGCTGCTCCTTAGCTAAGCTGGTTTTGGGCTACAGGTAATGTGCAGTTGTGTGGGTGTTAGTTTCTACCAATGGTTCTGCAGTGTTTTCTGCCAGGTTGCAAAACAATTGATGTATGTGGTTGTAGTCAAGTTGTCCTCCTCCAACTCCTGCCTGTAAACACATTCCTTATGAGGTAGTTTCTATTCCAATCCAAATTAACTATGCCTGGTGTACTGTAGACTAAGATCTGACCTGCTGTGCTGGGAAGCCAGATGTGGCCATTAGCCAAAAGGTTTCTGGGGTGACTTCTCACCAAGCTGCATATGCCAAAGGACAAACCACCAAGTAGAGTTTATTCTGTTTATTATGTTTCTTCATTGTTGATCTTCTTGGGCAACTGATTAAAAGGAATGACTCACTTTGTGCTCAGTCTTCCTTGATTACTGACTTATTTTTATATTTGTTTTGTTCTAGTTGTCTCTGTCAAGTTGAAGCCAGAGTGAGGAGGCTATTACATGCCAAGCCTTGTGTGTGCTAATCATTGTACTATGTCATTTTCTTTAATTCCCATAGCAACATCTCCATGTAGGTACTATTAGCCCTTTTTTTACTAGTGAGGAATCTGAAGCTCAAAGCAGTTAAACAATTTGGCCGTGATCACGTAGCTAATGAATAACACAAATAGAGCTTTATTATTAAGGAAAAAATCCTGTTAGTACAGTATAGACATATACACACACAGACACACACATGACTACTGCCACAATAAAGCTTATACACTGCCAAATAAATCAGACTTTACATTTCTAATAAGTAATTATATGGGTTCTGAGAGGATAAGGACAGAATAATGTAGTAGCATCTAATAATAATACTCTGGTGTAAAGTTGGGTCACCCTAAGAAAAAACGTAAGAAGGAAGGACTATTTCAGACAAAATGCAATATCAGTGGTAGAGTTGCTAGGTATCCTAGAGCATGGCAAGATTAAGAAATTGAGAGCGATTAATCTTTTTGCACAAATAGAGAAAGAGAACTGGTTGTGTTCCACCTATGTTGGGTTTCCTGGTAGCTGGGATAATAGGAGCACACCACCATGACCAGCTCTTTGTTGAGATCTCAAGAACTTTTTTTTTTTTTTTTTTGCAAGGCTGGCCTCTAATCACAATCCCAATAATATCAGTTTCCTAAGGAGCTAGAATTTCAGGCATGAGCCACAAACACCTTGCGATGATCCTTCTCCTAAGATCAGACCTTTTCTTGATTGGAGTTTAAGTAGGGAATGACAGAACAACTCTCCCTTATCCATGGCAAATATATTCTAATACTTCTTCTAGTGGGTGCTTGAAAACTGGGAGTATTCCCTATACAGAGAAATATATATCAATAAATAAACTATAGACACACAACTGGGAAAGTGGCTTAGTGGTAGACTGCTTGCCTAGCATGCATGAAGCCCTGGGTTTGATTCCTTAGCACCACATAAACAAAAACAGAGGTAGTGCTGTGGCTCAAGTGGTAGACTGATAGCCTTGAGCAAAAGAAACTGAGTGACAGTACCCAGGCCCTGAGTTAAATCTCTAAGACTGGCCAAAAAAAAAAAATTACAGATACACATACAATTTCATTTGTGCAGATTTGCGTTCTGATCCTGGGACTTGAAGTCAGGGCCTGGACGCTGTCCCTGAGCTTTTGTGATCAAAGCTAGCATTTTACCACTTAAGCCACAGCTCCACTTCTGTCTTTTTTGGTAATTAATTAGAGATAAGAATCTCACAGGTTTTCCTGCCCAGGCTGGCTTTCAACCAGAATCATCAGCTCTCAGCCTCCTAAGTAGCTAGGACTACAGGCATGAGCTCACAGTTTCATTTTTATTGTAGATCTTAGCTACCTGAATCTATTTTTTTTTTTTGGGGTCCGGTTGTGGGGCTTGAACTCTGGGCCTGGGCGCTGTCCCTCAGCTCTTCAGCTCAAGGCAAGCGCTCTACCACTTGAGCTACAGCGCCACTTCCAGGACAGCTAATTTTTACTAAGCTTTTAACAAATGTCAAGTACTAACCAAATGTTGAGTACCATGCAACAGATCATCTCCTTCAATATCTTTAACAACTCTCATCTAAGTACTGTTACCACTACACTTGTTTTATTTATTTAATTTTGTCAGTTGTGGGGCCTGAACTCTGGGCCTGGGGGCTGTCCCTGAGTTCTTCAGCTCAAGGCTAGTGCTCTACCACCTGAGCCACAGTGTCACTTCTGGCTTTTTTTCTGCTTATGTGGTGCTGAGGAATCAAACCCAGGGCTGAGCTAATGCATGAGGGACAAGCACCCTACCACTGAGCCCACAATGCTTGTTTTAAACACGTGAAGAAACTAAAGAATGTGACCCAAGATGACCCAGTTAGAAATGGACTGGGTTGACATTCAAATACAGGCAGTCTTATTTCAGTAACCAAAGGCTTAAGCACAGTTTTGGAGTTTAAGAGCAGTTATGGAGCAGAGGTATTTATCTGGTATGGAATTTTCTCTGAAAACAAATTTCAACTCAATTTTTTTTTTGGGGGGGGTGGGTCATGGGGCTTGAACTCTGGGCCTACACACTGTCCCTGAGCTCTTCAGCTCAAGGCTAGCGCTCTACCACTTGGGCCACAGTGCCACTTCTGGTTATTGGAGATAAGAATCTTATGGCCTTTCCTGTATGGGCTGACTTTGAACTGCGATCCTCAGATCTTAGCCTCCTGAGTAGCTAGGATTACAGGCGTGAGCCACTAACGCCCAGCTTCAACTCAATTTTCTAAGGGTTCAGTGTGAACATCATGTTGGGACCATACACATTTTCTCATTAAACCTAGATTGAATGAAAGTGTCTTTCATCTTTTCCTTAACCTGTGATATATAGTTATGCTACCTTAAGTAGATTTAAAGGACCATCACTGTTTTTGCTTATAAATTGCCCCCCAGCTGGCATGTTATGGTACTTTTCCTTCTCTGTAGCAATTTGCCATAAAGTCAGTATTTTTGAGGCTTCTTTAGTGACTGTCTTGAAAGAGAAAATTTGATCTTCTGAGCATGTTTGACTAGCAAAGTGCTACAAGACATGATTTATGATTAAATCTTTGAAAGCCTACTTTCTATCTAGATGACTGTTAAGAGTTAATGTCATACCAGATGCAGGTGCCTCACGCCTATAAATAATCCTAGCTACCCAGGAGGCTGAGATATGAGGATCACTGTTCAAAGCCAGCCCAGGCAGGGAAGTCCATGTGACTCTTATCTCCAATAAACCACTCAGAAAACCGGAAGTGGCACTGTGGCTCTAGTGGTAGAGTGCTAGCCTTGAGCTGAAGAGCTGAGGGACAGCACCCAGGCTCAGAGTTCAAGCTCCACAACTGACCAAAAAAAAAAAAAAAAAAGGAATTAATGTCACTAGTAGCTAAGATATATTTCTTGGACAGAATGGCCTTTGGAGAAAGGAGAAAGGAGTCAGAATTCTTGTTTAGCAGTGAGTTTAGTTTCAGCAAATCACCTACACCATAACATTTAACAAACTGTGCTCTTAACAATTTAGGTGCACAGCAAAGGCAGTGCACAGTAATTACTTTCTTTTCAAAGAACTGCTTTGTGAGGCAGCTGCCACCTTCAGTCCAACCTGTGTGCAGTTGAGGAAAAAAGTGGTGGCCCTTTTGTAAAGGAGGAAAGGGGGCAATGGTTATTACCCTGGTCTTTTCCAAACTTCATAATACCTTATTGTACCCATCAAAGGATTTAGTTACCCCCTCTGCCTTGCTTTCTGAGTATGCTAACCCTGCAGGAAACCACTGTTGTGGAGAAGAACACAGAACCACTTTTGTATTTGTTTATAGGTAGGTATGCGGGTGACAGACATGCTGACAGTTAAAAGAAAGGTGGAGAGTGCCCCCTAAGGTGGGTTGTTTATGAACAATGTGCTTGTTTATCACATTTTTATTTTTATTTTTTTGTCTTTTCTTTTTTGGTACTGGGGATTGAATCCAATAAGTTGCGATTGCTAGGCAAGTACTTTGCCACTGAGCTACATCCCAGCCCTGTTTGTTCCACTTTTTTTTTTTTTTTTGGGTCCGGTCGTGGGGCTGAACTCTGGGCCTGGGCACTGTCCCTCAGCTCTTCAGCTCAAGGCTAGCACTCTACCACTTGAGCCATAGCACCACTTCCGGCTTTTTGCTTATGTGGTGCTGAGGAATCGAACCCAGGGCCTCAGGCATGCAAGGCAAGCACTCTACCACTGAGCCACCTTCCCAGCCCCCCTGAATCTATTTTTTATTATTATTAAATTGATAACTTTCACCTTTTCACTTAAAGAGATACAGAATTTTTTCACTACTAAGGTTTGAACTCAGGGCCTTGCACTTGGAGGCAGGCACTCTACCGCTTGAGCCATACCTCCAGCTTACCTTTTCACTTAAAAAGGAGCTCTGTGGTTTTTGCTAGCATATCTGTCTTAGGCTTTGGGCCATTGTTAAGTAGGATATGGATTTTTAGGCAGATAGTATACACAGCATAGATAAATTAGAGAAAGTAATGATTCTTGTCTGGGCCTGATGAAGGTTGGATAGTGTGAG